ATATAATAAATAGTATATAATAAATAGTACATAATAAATAGTAGTAAAATTTTTTCAATATTTATTAAAGGACTCAATTAAGTTCCAACAAACAATTCAGAAGATTCGTTTAAAATCTCAAATCAATTTCAACTGGGAAGAAGAAACTGATGAAATATGTATGTTCTGTTTAGATTACATTATTCACTGTACATTTGGAATGATTAACCTGTATATTTGTCCCGATAGGAAATCACCAAGCAAAAGTTGACGATTTTAGTTTTCGAGTAAAAACCAACTACCGTTGTTCTCTATGTCGGTGAGGGGTTTGTTACACGGCATACGAAGAAAAGTATACTGTTACATATGGTCTCTGGTCTGTTCTTCCCAACCACTGAGAAGGGTGGAAAATAATCGTCGTTTGTTGGTGGAATGGAATTTCATTAAGTTTCCTGCCAGCTGTTTGGATTGATTTATGATCGATGCACGACCGAAAGTGAAGAGATGGAAAATCCGCTCGCTCGGGTGACACCCAAACAAGGTTTGTATCATTGTTATTACAAAATTGAAAACGGCGCGGCGCCTTAAAAAAAGAGCTCGCTGTTCGCGAGGTAATTCGACCGTCTGCGCGCGTTGCTTCGTTTTAATTAACGAAGGAACCAGAGAGAAATTCATTACAACGAATCGAAATTAATTAAGTTGATGAGGTTTTCGGAAGGGTGAAATTAAACCCCTGGATAAACTTTTTCTTCAAACTTTCAAACAAAACTAGCATTAGTACATTTATCATTAATTAGTACTAGTATTATTACATCTATCATAGTATTAATACATTAATTAGTACTAGTATTTTATCATAGTATTAATACATTAATTTAATACATTAGTGATAGTATTAATACATTAATTAGTACCAGTATTAGTGCATTTATCATAGTATTAATACATTAATTAGTACTAGTATTTTATCATAGTATTAATACATTAATTTAATACATTAGTGATAGTATTAATACATTAATTAGTACTAGTATTAGTGCATTTATCATAGTATTAATACATTAATTAGTATTAGTATTTTATCATAGTATTAATACATTAATTTAATACATTAGTAATAATATTAATACATTTATTAAATGCATTTTGAGATGTGATTTAAAGTAAATCTTGTAATTTTTGCAAGAAGATGTACTATTATTTTGTTTGTAACATAAGATGTAAGTTTGTTATTTTTATAAAGAAAAACATTACATTATTCTTATACATTGAATGCTCAGAGAACATAATCCTATTCCAATCAAACTATTTTACTTTCCTTGACGTATAAACAACGTTCAAATAAACCAAAGCTAACTTAAAAGAACATAAAATGAACATTGCTTTATCTCCAGTTAGACAAAATCTTCAATTTGTAATTTGAATGTATAA